ACGATACATGAGAGTGGATATCATCAGACCTTTGCATATTGGAGTTATTTTTTCTGCAGTTGTGACTAAGCCTCAGGATTAGAGGTTCTGACTATGTCTCATTTGGAAAATCTTGTTGATAGAAAAATGTTTTAAATTAGTTTTCGAATTTGACAGCTTCTTCATCCATTTTTCTTGAGGTTGCTTTGAAAACGTGGGTGAAATATAACATTTACTAGCACCACAAACAGACTGGCTAGTTAAAAACTCCTATGTAGGAAAGCTCAAGTCCATGTTTTCTGGAAAATCTTGTTGATAGAAAAAGGCTAAATCGGATTTTCAATTTTTGACAGCTTCTTCATATGTTTTTCTCAAGGTCGTATGCTTATCTGGAAATATAGATGATATGTACTATTAACATCTAATTATGCACATATGTTGCATAAAATTGAGCATGAGCCCATGTTTAGGATAGTAGTTGGTCGACAATTATGAGGTTGTGCGTTTGAATCTAATAGTAGTTATTTTGTGTAATAATGTCCAAGTTTTACAATGTACTAACGGAAATTAAATTGGGTAATAGCCTTTTTAGTTGAGCGCTCGCAATGAGTTAAAATCACTATTATAGGCTGTAGCAATTCTCTAAACATTCTAATTGCAAGGAAGAACTTGATTTGATAGTTTGCACCTAAGCTTTCTTGGTTGTCAATTAAGATCAAGAACTACTATTAGACCCATGAGAATGGGTTGTTTTTTTTAGGCCTCCTGCAGACGGGGTTCAATAATTTTACATTTGTGTTGAAGTTTTATGTTGTACTTGAGTGGNTCAAGAACTACTATTAGACCCATGAGAATGGGTTGTTTTTTTTAGGCCTCCTGCAGTCGGGGTTCAATAATTTTACATTTGTGTTGAAGTTTTATGTTGTACTTGAGTGGAGTTCATTCACACAATTTGGACATAGGATAACTTTAATTTCTTAAGTAGATTTCTGAAGCCATTTGAAATGAGAATCCCTCCATGATTGAAATTTCGTTTTGACAGATAGTTTCGATGAAATTAAAAATAGAAAAGTTTTTAAAATAATTTGAAAACAAATAAAAAAGTGTGAATATTTTTTTTCAAAACATATTAATCTATGTTGAAACACCTCGNTTTGGACATAGGATAACTTTAATTTCTTAAGTAGATTTCTGAAGCCATTTGAAATGAGAATCCCTCCATGATTGAAATTTCGTTTTGACAGATAGTTTCGATGAAATTAAAAATAGAAAAGTTTTGAAAATAATTTGAAAACAAATAAAAAAGTGTGAATATTTTTTTTCAAAACATATTAATCTATGTTGAAACACCTCGAAATATAGAAATTTACATATTCAATCACTTCGGTTCTAATGGAAATGATAAGGTTTTGAATATTTCGAAACGGAACTTAGTTTCGTACTCGTATGTCAATTATCAGCTAATGTTTTTCATGGTAATGAACAAGTCATCTTGAAATTTCAAATTATATAAAATTTTTAGTCACTACGTAAATTTTAAATTCTTATTCTTGCATATTCGTTTGTTGACTTGAGTTTGCAATTTTTTTTTTTTGGCAAATAGAGTGTGTAACTTCTTGACATTAATTTTATTTATGTATGATGACAGATTTGATGAACTCGAAAGTATAATGGAAGGGGATTGCTATTTAGTTGGTGAGATTCGAACTCAAAGTTATGCCTAAAGGTAGGCAACTCCTTAATTACTCAAACAAACTCATTTCGTTTAATTCTTGACCTTGTTTTGCACTCTTAATGGTGGAAGATTTTCTGTTGTACTTGGAATAAAATCGACCAAAACTCATGATAGCTTTATGGTTCATCACGAACACTTTGTAGAGCAACTATATTGGCAATTCCTCATGAGCGGATGGAAAACATAAAGGATTCAAGTCATGGATTTTTGTTCATCCCTTGCCGTGATAAGATTTTAGGGTTCGCGGCCATTTGACATATCTATGACCATAAACTAAAATATGTCTATTGACGGGACATGAAGTCACATTCGTATTAGAGCATGACAGGTGGACGCAAACATTGGAGCACCGAGAAAGTGAATCGCTCCCAAGGCCAGGATCCGAGAAGATATTGCTTATCATGGGAAAGGTAAAAAGAGATTCATAGGACTGAGCATTTAACACCAGGGCCCACCAGTGATAGGCCACAGAGAAATCAGTCGGTCAAATAAGACTACACCACTATCCTAGGAGATCCGGATAACAGTATGGTTTTGACTGACGTTGATCTTTCTCTGGAGAGTACATTTAATGATTTGGAGGACCGTGATAAGTACTCGGCACAACTCAATAAATGACTTGTAAAGATAATTAAATGTTGGGGGACGTGCAATGAGTGCTCGGCATCCCGAACTGGCTAATCATTACAGGATTTGACCTCGAGTTGACGTTGACCTCCTACAACCTAGTAGTTATGGGGTTCGAGAAGAGTGTAGCTCACTAATGATTGCAACTATGAAGGCTCCCTCGACCGCGTGGGATGGGACGCCTATATTGTTACATCACCCTATTATAAGGAATAAATACCCTAATGAGTTGGGTCTCATGTACGCATTCACGAGCAATCTAGTACAAAAAAGACTTCATCCCTCCCCCTTGGTGCACTTATTGACTTAGGCATTAGAGGAGATACACTGGACACACAATTCTCTGTTGTAGGAGTAAATCAGACAACATCCGCCGTGGTTCAACTATCTCGATCTATTGCAGAAAATCAACCATGTATCTATAATCAACTAATTGGCAGGCTTTGAGAATAGTCAGCTTGATTGGACATGGAGGTGACACAAAAACTTTTCATGACTCGAGAGAGAGTTAGATGTAGCCAAGAGGAAATTGAGTTTCCATTGTTGGTGATAACTAAACAACTGATTTTACGCTAAAATGCCACTCTTTTAGGGATTCAACCGAATGCAAAGAACCAAGATATAGTTATGCACAAATTGCTATGATTATATTGGAGGAAAGAAGCTCTTCAAAATGCACCACTGTTATCAAGGTGAGCTTCTGGTACCAAAATATATTTTTTGGGTACCATACCTTTATTTTTTATCCAATTAAAACTTGTCGGGAACAAATTTTTTTATTCTATTATTTTTTTAATAAATAGTTGTAAATCATCCAAACTAAAATTAATGATTGGGATGAAATTTCAACATGGAACCGAATCGGTAGACTCATCCTTGTTATTAAGTACAAGTTGGATTGAATATCCACTTCAGAAATTCTAAGTTTCATAAATCTAAAAACAATCTGCAACATCGCCCATGAAATACAACTTGCAAACTCTTTCAAAAAGAGAGGTAAAGACTATAGGGTGAGACCACTTGGGTGCATTCAGAGCTGTGGTTTTATTCCCACATCAAAGAAGATGGCAGAGTTGGGACACCAAAGGGGATTATGAATAGGGACAAAGTAAGTTGAGAAACATTCTTACCTGGACTGAGTCAATGGGTGATCAAGAAGCCCCATGGCTTAGCATGGTGACTTCCATTGCACTTCCAAGTGTTGGACCCTATTTCATAATTTGCGACAGCAGGGGCCTGTGTTCACGCGGCCCCTGCCTAGTTTAAATAAATATTTATTTATTTTCTGTGGGGCCAAAGTACATGTGGGTCAACTGGTTGAGCCCTTTTCTAAAGAAACATGTGAATATGCTTGCATAGTCATCGCTTGTGAAGTTATTAGTATGTTAAAAGGGAACAATTAGTACTTGAATTTTATAAAAAATAATTACACTTTTTCTGGTTGCTTTTGATTGAACATTGCAGAGATTGGGAATGAAAAATGCTTGTGATATGTCCTGCAATATATTTGAAACTCATTCCGTGATATTGAAATACACTCACAGAGAGAGAGATTTTGTATGTCATAAAAATAGCTTCATTTTATTTTGTGATGTGCAAAGTGTGCACTTCTCTATTCAAACAATTAATAAACTTTGAAATAGCAATCATGTAAATGTCTTTTCAGCGGCCATTGTTATCAGAACTGAGCTTGAAGATAGTTAACCACATTTTTGTCAACCTGGAAGGCCTTGGTGAGAACATCAACAGAGATAGGTGGCTTCGACCCGAACACTGCATTTGCAATGGTGTTTACTCCTGGATTCTGACTGCTCAATGCGGCAATAGCCACTGCAGGTGTGTTTCCAACATTTAGCTGGAAGTGAATGAGACCAATAGGGAACACAAACACATCTCCTTTGTATAGGACCTTGCTTATGAGACGATTGTCGGGGTTGGAAGTAACAAATCCCACATAGAGGGCACCTTCCACAACAGTGAGGATCTCGCTAGCACGAGGGTGTGTATGAGGAGGGTCGAGGCCATATGGTGCAAAATCAAGGCGTGCTATTGAAATGTCAAGGGTGTTTAGTCCACCAATTTGAGCAACTGTTACTAGATTGACCATGAACCCGAGTTTATTAGACGTGTTACTAGGTACGTTGAGCCCGGGGAAGAAAAAATCATTAGCCGTGGCCATCTTTGGATCCTGGCAAAATTTCCCATTCACAAACACTGCACAGAAACAGTAAAATTGGCAAGCATTAGCAGACGATAAAAAGGAAATTTAGATTGATACAAATATTTCTACCAAGCTTAGAAATGGAGGGGAACATCATGTACCAGCAGCTTTAGAATCATTGACAGCAACACAGAAGTCCTGAAGAGGACTGGGATCAGAGGCATATGCAAGAGAGGAAACCACAGCCCATAGGGCGACATATGAAAGAATTTCAGCTACCGTCTTCTTCATTTTGCTTCGATTATTTAGGCAATTGCTATGGAACACTTGCTAACTTGTGAAAATCTAAGAATGGTAATGTTGTTTATATAGTTCAAGGGTCATTGACATGTTCGAACCTTGAATCAGTCTAATTATGCTATAAATTCAATACACATCTAGGGTAATTGAACGTACCAAGTCTTCAAAATTTTTATATTGTCATTCAGGCTCTGTTAATCAACTTCCTCGTTGACNTAGTCCACCAATTTGAGCAACTGTTACTAGATTGACCATGAACCCGAGTTTATTAGACGTGTTACTAGGTACGTTGAGCCCGGGGAAGAAAAAATCATTAGCCGTGGCCATCTTTGGATCCTGGCAAAATTTCCCATTCACAAACACTGCACAGAAACAGTAAAATTGGCAAGCATTAGCAGACGATAAAAAGGAAATTTAGATTGATACAAATATTTCTACCAAGCTTAGAAATGGAGGGGAACATCATGTACCAGCAGCTTTAGAATCATTGACAGCAACACAGAAGTCCTGAAGAGGACTGGGATCAGAGGCATATGCAAGAGAGGAAACCACAGCCCATAGGGCGACATATGAAAGAATTTCAGCTACCGTCTTCTTCATTTTGCTTCGATTACAATTGCTATGGAACACTTGCTAACTTGTGAAAATCTAAGAATGGTAATGTTGTTTATATAGTTCAAGGGTCATTGACATGTTCAAACCTTGAATCAGTCTAATTATGCTATAAATTCAATACACATCCAGGGTAATTGAACGTACCAAGTCTTCAAAATTTTTATATTGTCATTCAGGCTCTGTTAATCAACTTCCTCGTTGGCNCATATGCAAGAGAGGAAACCACAGCCCATAGGGCGACATATGAAAGAATTTCAGCTACCGTCTTCTTCATTTTGCTTCGATTATTTAGGCAATTGCTATGGAACACTTGCTAACTTGTGAAAATCTAAGAATGGTAATGTTGTTTATATAGTTCAAGGGTCATTGACATGTTCGAACCTTGAATCAGTCTAATTATGCTATAAATTCAATACACATCCAGGGTAATTGAACGTACCAAGTCTTCAAAATTTTTATATTGTCATTCAGGCTCTGTTAATCAACTTCCTCGTTGGCTTTCTTATAATTCTTTTGGCTATCCAGGACGGCAGATCAAACGAAACATGTAACAATAGGTAACAGTGGATATGAGAGGAAGTTTCCGTTGGGTTAAAACGCATCAGACCTTTGCATATTTGAGTTATTTTTTCAGCAGTTGTGACTAAGCTCAGGGTAAGAGGTTCTGACTATGTCTCATTTGGAAAATATTGTTGACAGAATAATGTGTTTTTTTCCGAGGTTACATTTGGAAAACTTCTTCATCCATTATTTCTCGGGATCGCTTGATTATCTGCACAATATAGGTGTTATATACCATTAAAATAGCACCACAAAAAAGACCAGAAACAGACTGGCCAGTTAAAATCTCCTATTTAAGAAAGCTTAAGTCTATGTTTTCTGAAAATCTCTGCCCCAGTTGTAACTTAGTGACGCTCGGTTGTAGACCATATTTCATCCATTTACAAGTTGGACTTAGGTTACCCTTACAATGGGTTAAAGTTGTACATGCAACTCCATCAGACAGTGTGACCCCATTTCCGGCGCCTATAAAATTGGATCCAAGCCTTGCCGGCCTCACTGTGAATTAAACTGATGCCTGTACAAAAATTGCTATAGAGCTGCACCCAAATGAGATCAGACTGGACCTTTGGAAGCTCAATTCAATTCCACCAACTTAATTAAATGGAGGTGCCCAAAAACACCCCCTGCACTCTCATTCGAACCACCCAAAAAGATAGCGCAATTGTCACAATTTATAGACCCAAAACTTGGGTGATCATAATCAAGATGAAGTTTGGGTCAAGATCAGACTGGACCTTTGGAAGCTCAATTCAATTCCACTAACTTAATTAAATGGAGGTACCCAAAAACACCCCCTGCACTCTCATNCAATTGCTATGGAACACTTGCTAACTTGTGAAAATCTAAGAATGGTAATGTTGTTTATATAGTTCAAGGGTCATTGACATGTTCGAACCTTGAATCAGTCTAATTATGCTATAAATTCAATACACATCTAGGGTAATTGAACGTACCAAGTCTTCAAAATTTTTATATTGTCATTCAGGCTCTGTTAATCAACTTCCTCGTTGACTTTCTTATAATTCTTTTGGCTATCCAGGACGGCAGATCAAACGAAACATGTAACAATAGGTAACAGTGGATATGAGAGGAAGTTTCCGTTGGGTTAAAACGCATCAGACCTTTGCATATTTGAGTTATTTTTTCAGCAGTTGTGACTAAGCTCAGGGTAAGAGGTTCTGACTATGTCTCATTTGGAAAATATTGTTGACAGAATAATGTGTTTTTTTCCGAGGTTACATTTGGAAAACTTCTTCATCCATTATTTCTCGGGATCGCTTGATTATCTGCACAATATAGGTGTTATATACCATTAAAATAGCACCACAAAAAAGACCAGAAACAGACTGGCCAGTTAAAATCTCCTATTTAAGAAAGCTTAAGTCTATGTTTTCTGAAAATCTCTGCCCCAGTTGTAACTTAGTGACGCTCGGTTGTAGACCATATTTCATCCATTTACAAGTTGGACTTAGGTTACCCTTACAATGGGTTAAAGTTGTACATGCAACTCCATCAGACAGTGTGACCCCATTTCCGGCGCNGGACGGCAGATCAAACGAAACATGTAACAATAGGTAACAGTGGATATGAGAGGAAGTTTCCGTTAGGTTCAAACGCATCAGACCTTTGCATATTTGAGTTATTTTTTCAGCAGTTGTGACTAAGCTCAGGGTAAGAGGTTCTGACTATGTCTCATTTGGAAAATATTGTTGACAGAATAATGTGTTTTTTTTCCGAGGTTACATTTGGAAAACTTCTTCATCCATTATTTCTCGGGATCGCTTTGATTATCTGCACAATATAGGTGTTATATACCATTAAAATAGCACCACAAAAAAGACCAGAAACAGACTGGCCAGTTAAAATCTCCTATTTAAGAAAGCTTAAGTCTATGTTTTCTGAAAATCTCTGCCCCAGTTGTAACTTAGTGACGCTCGGTTGTAGACCATATTTCATCCATTTACAAGTTGGACTTAGGTTACCCTTACAATGGGTTAAAGTTGTACATGCAACTCCATCAGACAGTGTGACCCCATTTCCGGCGCCTATAAAATTGGATCCAAGCCTTGCCGGCCTCACTGTGAATTAAACTGATGCCTGTACAAAAATTGCTATAGAGCTGCACCCAAATGAGATCAGACTGGACCTTTGGAAGCTCAATTCAATTCCACCAACTTAATTAAATGGAGGTGCCCAAAAACACCCCCTGCACTCTCATTCGAACCACCCAAAAAGATAGCGCAATTGTCACAATTTATAGACCCAAAACTTGGGTGATCATAATCAAGATGAAGTTTGGGTCAAGATCAGACTGGACCTTTGGAAGCTCAATTCAATTCCACTAACTTAATTAAATGGAGGTACCCAAAAACACCCCCTGCACTCTCATTCGAAACNCAGTTGTAACTTAGTGACGCTCGGTTGTAGACCATATTTCATCCATTTACAAGTTGGACTTTGGTTACCCTTACAATGGGTTAAAGTTGTACATGCAACTCCATCAGACAGTGTGACCCCATTTCCGGCACNCATACACAGATCTATGCATGTTTGTGTGAGTGTGTCTACGTGAGAACTCATCTCCTGTCTTTCTGCGCAGCAGATCTGTGTATATTTACAGATATGTGTTCAGATCTGTGTATATTTACAGATCTGTGTTCAGATCTGTATATATACACAAANTCAAATCAATTCCACCAACTTAATTAAATGGAGGTGCCCAAAAACACCCCCTGCACTCTCATTCGAACCACCCAAAAAGATAGCGCAATTGTCACAGTTTATAGACCCAAACTTGGGTGATCATAATCAAGATGAAGTTTGGGTCAAGATCAGACTGGACTTTTGGAAGCTCAATTCAATTCCACTAACTTAATTAAATGGAGGTACCCAAAAACACCCCCTGCACTCTCATTCGAACCACCCAAAAAGATAGCGCAATTGTCACAGTTTATAGACCCGAACTTGGGTGATCATAATCAAGATGAAGTTTGGGTGAAATTAAGTAGGGGTCCAAACCAATTGATATTAAAGAATTAATGCATGAATTATAGTTAGGGGTGAAATGTCACTCGAACCCAGAAGTAATTGCTTATCCCCGAAAAGGATCATAAGTTGATGATGTCTCTTGACTAAACAAGTCAATTGAGAGGCTCATATTACACTAGTAGGACCATCCTCAAAATAAGTGAAAGCAATAGTAGGTTTGGGACCTCGTTATTAATTCACTCGGATCCAACATAAATAGCTCTGCCTATCAAATTTGACTGTCTTAATGGAGGAATGGATCACTGCTTCGATGCCTCATTTACTCTATTCTTGACTACAACCCCATGTTTATACTCTCACTGCACCGAATACGACAAAGTCCTATGAATTTCCAAAAAATTTAGGGCTTATTTGGCTTGTGTTTACAAAACAATTTTTTGTTCTCAAATCTCTAAAACAAGGGAGATGTTGTTTGGTTAATTTTTTGTTCTCCAACTTTTTAAAAATTCTGAGACTTGAAGTGTAATTTTAGAGAATAATAAAACGGTGTTCTCACTGTTTTCTAAGGTAAATTGAAAACACGGGAAATATTATCTCCAAATTAATGACGTTTTCCGTTCGAGTTTCGTTGAAGACAAAAAAGGGTGACCGACTGTTCATCTTCTCCACCGCGCTCTCTCTTTTTCGCAACTTTCCATCTCTCCCTCCCTCTCTCTAATCCAGCTTCAGACTGTGTATATACACAAACTTGAGCATACACAGATCTATGCATGTTTGTGTGAGTGTGTCTACGTGAGAACTCATCTCCTCTCTTTCTGCGCAGCAGATCTGTGTATATTTACAGATCTGTGTTCAGATCTGTGTATATTTACAGATCTGTGTTCAGATCTGTATATATACACAGATCTATGGGTGTGTGTATATATATACATATGTATTGTGTGATGTATGTGAGTGTGTGGGTGTGTGTGGGCGATGTGCGATGACTTAGTGTTTGTTTTTTCTGGGTGAGAAGATAATGGAGAAAGAGATAGTTATCGTGTGAGAAGATAATGGAGAGAGAATGAGACTTGTTGTGTGAAAAGATAATGGAGGGAGAGAGTTGCTATTTGAGAAGGCGGTAGATGTGATTGCCTGACTGGAGTGATAAGTTTTTTTTTTTATTAGAAATGACAAGTTAAAATTTGATTTTTATGGATCATTGTTCAAATATGTTTTATTATTTTTTGTTTTTTAAAATTATTTTCAAAATCATATAACCAAACACATTTTGTAATATAAAAATATGAAAAAATACTTTCTTAAAACTTTTCTAAAAAATTATTCTCAGATACCATTTTTAAAAATGCATACCAAACAAGTCGCTAGAGATTTGACATTTTTACCTAAAAGAATCATAGAATGAGAAATNTTTTAAAATTATTTTCAAAATC